AAAGAACTCCAGGCTATTGAACTTGAGGCTGTGGTGTTTGCTGTGACCCCTTTGGCTTCTGGCAGTGGGGCCTGGCCTCTTCACTAGGCCGCCAGGAGCCAGACCGTGCCCTCCTCGAGCCATGCCAACCACACTGTGTGTTGTAGATCTGGGTTCCCAAAGCGAGTGTCTGTCTTGGGGCACTAGAATGATTTCCAGAGGACCAAAACATAATTTTTCCTTTTTCACAGCTACTTATTTATTTATTTAGAGTCAGAGACTCATTCTGTTGTGCAGGCTGGAGTCCAGGGGTCCAATCACGGCTCACCACAGCCTTGGCCTCTGGGCTCAGGGGATCCTTTTGCCTCAGCCTCCTGAGTAGCTGAGACTACAGGTGTGCACCATCATGCCCAGCTAATTTTTTTTTTTTTTTGTAGAGACAAGGTCTCACTATGTTGCCCAGGCTGGTCTTGAACTCCTGGGCTCAAGCAATCTCCTGCCTCAGCCTCCCACTATGCCCGGCCATATTTGTCTATTTTTTAGTTAACTTTCTCCTTATGGAAACTGGTACGGGTTTTCTGTTTTTAATAATGAATGACTTCCTTTTTCAATTAATTTATAGAAAGGAAAGGAAGTTGATTTTAAGCACTGGTACTCTGTTGGGTCCGAGAAGGGATAGAGGAAGTCTTGTTTCTGGAATCTCTATGTCTAGGGCTCTGGGCACCATGCCACCACCCTCTCTGTCCGGCCCCCCTCCTCTGTCACACAGACAGGGTGCCACGCTAGGGCCAGCGTGAATGACCCCCCAGCTCTATCTTTCTAATACAACAATGTCACATGATCTGGTTGCCAAGCATCCACTCTGGAGAAGGAGGATAGCCCAGAACCCAGACCATTCTGGTTTAGGACTTGTTCCAAATATAGAGGGGAAACTTCAGGAAGAAGGAGGACAGTGTTGGAGTCAAGGGTTTTCCTGGAGTCATGGCAGGCTCGTCTTTGAGCCCCAATTCCAACCTTGTTTATTTCCCCCCATGATGGTCCTTGGGAGTAGGACTTTCCAGAAGGGACACCCTAGCATCCTGGGCCTCTCTCTCTGTCCCTTTGGGCTTCAGCCCTGCCATCTGGGCTGAAGATCTAGAAAGACAGATGAGTTCCAGAGTGGTGGGGGCCCAGGTGTGGGTCCAGGCTCCTCTGGATGGGAGGAAGGGCACAGAGCAACCCCCACCCTGCGCCAACCACCTCTCCCCCCTTGGCAGCCTGAGGAAGACGAGATCCAGACGGTGTTTGACATGGAGCCAAGCAGCACGACCTCCACACCCACCTCCCTCGTGAGTCCCACCACCTGTACTCTGGGGAAAGGCCAGGAGAGTGGGGCTGCAGGGGTGGTCTGCTCCAGCATCATTGTGGGGGGTGCTAACATTTGGTGTCCACCCTCAGTCTGGGGGCAGAGATGGGAGACCCCGGGCTCCCTCCTCTGACGCAGCAGGACTTGGCCCAGGTCCAAATGCTGCCGTGGCCCTGGCTGAAGAGAGAGGAGAGAAGAACCAGGCTGTACGCATCAATGACTAGAAGGAAACCAAGGAGGATGGACTTGGTCAGGGCGAACGCGGCCACAGAGACCTCAGTCATGTAGACACAGGGGGCACGCTGAGGCCCGGCCTCAGGACCAGAGGCTGCCCCCGGGGGCACAGATGCAGTCAGAGCAGCACAGACAGAGCTGCAGGGAGCTATTGGAGGTCCACACGGAGGGTAAGGTGGGGGGTACCAGCGAGTGAGCCCACCAGCTGCGGAGAGAGGCGACTCGTGTGGGTTTCGGCAGGCGGGCGTGGGTGCTCCCACTGTGGCTTGGCCGGGAGGGGCTGCGCACATACCCGCATCCCTACACAAGGGCAGGACCACCGATGGGTACTTGAGCTGGGCACCGGGTTGGCCCATGCCCCGATGCCAGGGCACCTCGGAGGAGCTTAGAAGAAGGTACCGGTCAGCCTGGGCATGCAGAGAAAGCATCCCAGAGGAGGGAACATCTTCCGGCCCCAGAAATGGGATTGGGGGGTGCCCAGTGAAATAGGGTGTCAGGAGAGCATTCGAGGAGAAGGAGCAGCCTGTGCAAAGGCACGGAAGACAGTTCTTGGCTCGACAAAAGCAGAGTGGGTGGCAGGGCCGTGCGAGACAAGGCTTTCTTTAGTTGTGGGCAGAGCTGGGTGAATGGGCACAGTGACAGGAGTGTAGGGAAACGGCGGCGGTGGGCATGCCCACCCCAATGCACAGACACAAGAAGGCACCAGAACTCCAGGCTTGTGTAGCTTTGAAAAAGCCCTACAGATAAGCACAGACTCTGAGAGGGAGCAGGGGAGGACAGCTTCGGTGATGGAGAAATCATGACGATTCCATAGCAGAGCAGTCTCTCTTCCCAGACCCTTCCCACTGGACCCCTCTTGAATAGCATTAGCAATGAGATTCTGAAATCTTACAAGCCTGGTGCATTGCCATCTCTCTCCTCGTCTCTTGATAAACCCGCACACAGTAGGGAGGTTTTTCATCTCCAAAAGGAGTTTCAAAAGGTCAGTTAACACACACCCCAGGGCACTAAGCAAGGAAGTGGCAGGACACCCTTTGAATCAGATCCATTGGACCCTAAAGTCTGTGCTTAGACTTTAGCTTTTAGATCTTGCATTATTACAACAGTGGTATACGAATATTAAACATAACTATGGGACAAAAAAGATAAAAATAAGAAAATACAAAATCCATATTGCCACCACCCAGAGATGACCCCTGACACCTTGGTGTATATTCCAGATGTTTATCTATTATATCATTTTTCCAGATTATTATACCTATAAGGCATATAATTATATGTGTATATATGTAGTCTTTGCTAAAATGAGGTTATACTGTACATTCTGTTTTATAACCTGCATCTTAGTTAGCGATCTCTATTTTTTCATAGCTATAAATGTTTAATCTCTTCAATTTCGTAGCCCGTATTTAAATGACTCTAATTGTTCCAGAAGTTTCTTTTACAGCTTGTCCAAAGTGAGATCCAACCTGGCACCTGTATATCTGGTTTTTATTCCCTTTTATTTTTAGCACAGTCGCTTGTCATGACTCATTGGAGACGCCCAGCCAGTCCCACCTTCTGGATTTTTCTGGCTGTTTCCTCATGATGCCTTATAGCAGGACCCACTGTCTCCTGTATTCCCTGAGATCTAGAAGTTAGATCCGAAGGCTCGATAGATTCAAGTTCAGCATGGGGCTAGAACACATGACAGGGCTGCGCCTCACACCAGGCGAGACAGAAGAGGCCACTCATTCCTAGTCATGATGTCACCACGACCCCTGATTAGGGAAATGACAGCTGGGCTTGTCCACTGTTCCGTTGCCATCTTCCCCTTTATGATCTAGGGGGTTGGCTTTGGCACCACACAAGTGTCCAGATTCTTTTGTAGGAAAACTGTTCCTTCATCGACTGGGGCTGTGGGTTTCCTGCAGGAAAGGTTTAATTCCATAATTACTTATTTTCAAAGTAAGGAGTTGTTTAAAAGCCACTTCACAGGATAATCATTGCTCTTTTCCCTGGTACCTCCTGTGTTTTTCTAGTCTGCTGCCGACCCAGGCATTCCTGGGACCATGCCTGGGTTTACAGGTCCATGACCAAGGTCTCAGCTGGCAGTCTCCGTCCACATCGTGATTCACAGGCCAACCAGCGACATGCCCCGAGGGGGCTCCAGATGTGTCTCTGAAGCTGTGTTAGGAAGGGCGTCAGCTCAGGAAAGGGGGTCTCTGCAGACCCCGGCTGAGGGCTTCATGCCATCTCCTTTGGTTCAGCCTGGCTGGGAACCAAGAGTGCACGGGACATGTTCTGAAGGTCAGGGGGCCAGGAGCGGGGAGATCTGCCACTAAGCCAGCCCTGGGAGCCCCTAGATGCTCAAGAGATGCCCAAGGACGACTGGGGGCGGGGCGGACAGGCCCCAGGTTGCTGGGAAGAAGGCAGGCTGCACATGTAGAAGGAGACCGAGGTGACGGGGGTGGGGCCTGGGGGAGAGGCGTGCCGGGGCCCTGCCCCCGATGTGACCTGGCTCCCGTCTCCCTCTCTCTCCCGAGCAGCTGTATGTGGCCACCGTGCTGCAGGAGCCAGAGTTGAACCTGACCCCAGCCTCCTCCCCAGCCAGGCACACCTATGGCACCATGAACAGCCAGCCGGAAGAGGGGGAAGAGGAGAGTGGTCTGAGGGGCTTTGCGGGGGAGATGGACTCGGCCCAGTTCCAGGAAGGACTGGAACTGGAGGGCCAGAACCAGTACCACTGACTGGGACCCAAGGTCTCTGCTGGCCACTCGTCGGGGGCTTGGGGAGGACCCAGCAGGGGGAGGCAGGAGGGTGGCCTGGACCCCCTACTACCTCCTGCAGACTTTGGAAAATTCCCCTGGAAACACCTGCCACGCCAGCCCTGGACCACGTGGAGACCCCACCCTGCTGAGCAGCTGGACCTGGAGGTGCTAGGCAGTACCGAGGGGCCCGAGTGGGATGGAGGACACAGGCAAGCACCGCGTCGTGGACACAGAGACTGGAGGCCGGGGCACCTTCCTGGGGTCAAGATGGAGAAGACACATGCACGGGAGGAGGCAGGAAGAATCCTGCCAAAGCTCTCCAGGGTCTTCACCGCCCAGCACCAGCTGCCCTTCCAAGGAGCTCCTGCTGCTGCCTCTCCCCGCCCGGCCCTGCAGTCTGAGGCCACAAAGGCATGTGACTGGGCCTCGAGACAGGACACAGATGGCCATCTCACCACAGGGCCCATGTGTGGGGCTCTGGAAAGAGAAGGCGTCTGCCCTCACCCAAGCAAGGGCCGCTGAGACTGGAGACCCGAAAAGAGGTGACTGAGCCCTTCCTGTTCCTCTGGCCTTGTCAATGTCCCCAGGAGCAGCGGGCAGGCCCTCCTCCTCTCTATTCATACAAAGGTCTTGGGGCCTGGTTGCCTGGGGCTCATTAAACAGACCCGAGTGCATTTTGCAGAAGGAAACCTTGGCGAGTCCCGAGATAACATAAGGTGGGAAGGGGCAGAGGCAGAGTTCATGGAGGAGAGGCTTCTTTCCAAAACTGGGTGGGGGGAAACCAAAAAGCCTTCCTCAAGCCAAGGGCCTCATGAGACAAGCCCCAAAGCTTCGGCCTCGCACCCATCTGAGCGCCTGGGCCCACACATGGCCAAGTGAGCCGCAAAGGGCACGAGACCCATGCTTCGGTGAAGGACCGGCCATCCCTGCCCCCAAGCAGGAGCCCCTCCTCCCCTATCAGGCCACACCCTGCTCTGAAGACCACCCAAGCGGCTCCAGGTGGTCCTGATCCAGACACTGCAGATGCTTTGATGGTGACGGGGGTGGGTGGACGTGAGGGCCTGTCCTCTGTGGAGAAGCCTTTCCTGGTGGAGCAAGGCTGCCCTCCCAGGGCTGCCACCCCTGAGACCTGGAGGTGCCGAACTCTGACCAATGCTGGTGACACCCAGCACCTTTGCCACAGCCTGGGAACAGGCCTTTATCAGGACCGCCAAGCAGCCCAGCCCGGGAGGACAGCAGGGCGGCGGAGGCCTGCATGCTCCTGGGTCTTCCTGCCCGCCTCCCGCAAGGGCCGGGATCCCACAGCCAAACTGCTGATGGTGGCCCAGGCCCACCTGGCCTGAGCGTCTCAACAGGCCCAGGCACTTGCTGCCCCGAGCGCCAAGCCCACATCCCAGCTCCAAAAGCCGCAATCTTCAGCCCAGGTGAGAAACTGGACTCAAGGGCAGCTTTTTGGCAGCTCAGGTCATGGCCCCGACCTGGGCACGGGGGCCTCCACGCAGAGAGCCTGGGTTGGTGAGGAGGAGCCTGGCTTTCCTGTTTCTTGTCCAGCTGGGAATAAGGGGAAATTGTTCCAGCCTGGCCCGTACACACCCAGGTCCCACAGGGTCCCTCCTCTGGGATGTCCCCAGCCAACAAGGGGAGAGGAGGCGGCCAGCTCCAGGCACCCTCACCCTGGAGTGTGTGCTTGGTGTGTGAAGTGCAGGATCCCACCAGGAGCTGGCCAGGGGCCTCTCCCCTGGACGCTGGCTGGTGTCTGCCACGTCTCCGCGCCCCTGGACTGTGGAAGCTGCAGATGGAAAGGGGCCGGCAGACCCCATGGCAGGACATGGAGCTTCTCCCTCTGAATTGGGGTCAAGTGCAGCCGGGCTCTGAGAGAAGGTCGTGCAATTGTTGGGAAAGTTCCAGAGCCCACTCGGGGGGGCAATGGGCGAGTCCCGCCGCAGCAGGCTCAAGCTGGGCCTCCCACGGTCACTGCTGTGGGGGGCATCCCTTGGCTG